TTTGCCAGACCCTGGTAAAGAAATTAAGAAAAATATTGTTCATGTATTTAGTCAATTAAGTTACTTGCTCTAACACGTAGTTTCCTAACCTGTCCACCGATGTTCTTCAAAATTGATATTCCCCGATCGATTTAAGGAAATTCGAACCTCTACGAGTTTGAAATGATTATTTTGATTTTTGGAGGTACTGTACAGGACCTCAATTGTCTAAAAAACGGTGTTTTTACTTTCTCGCTGAATTATGACAGTATATGTAAAAACGCAGGGTGCCACCAAATCTAGTCGGGCTTAGCTTGAGGTGCCATTAAAGATGACGGAAAATATGTTGATACATGTGTCCTTACACACTTTTTGATACTATATTGTACCTGATAGGGTGCACTGTTGGAATATGTGGAGTAAAAAGTTATTCTGCAGGTATACAAATGCATTTGAAGGAAATTTTAGAAAAGTACCCCTCGATTCCATCTTAGATTATGATGCAATTTTATATAGAGTCCCACGGGTGTCAAAAGAACTTCGAAGTTGTAGCTTTATAGGTAAAATTGTTTTTGAGACAAGCGGTTTGTTTGTCACCATTTTACAGTACGACCATTCGATTTTCGCAAATTTGGGAAACAATACTCCATTCTCCGTTATCATTAGACAAATGAAACTGAGCCCACTCGTTCATTTTTTCCTCTATTCATTTTAACTAATAATAATTTTCCATTTAGTAATACACAAGGGTAAAATCCAGCAAAATACGACCTCTACCTTTCTTGGTTCATCACTGAAGTCATTAATAGGTAGTAATGCAGATACAATTTATACATCTTTATTTAACACTTAATGAAATATATATCTGTGTGTGTATGTGGAGGCCGCATTTTTCGAATCCGCTAGAGCCTCAGAGGTTCTAAAAACAATTCTTCAGACATCGCAATTTTTTTATAAAATGCTTAGCACTGCAACTGAGTTTGCTAATTCGTGCGGTGTAGGTGCAGATTTCCCCCACCTACAAGCAGGCGAAAAAAGAAAACTGCGATAGGTTAAAAACGTGACGATAGTACAAACGATCGAAAGGGCAATTTCCGCATACCCTATAAATCGCATTTCCGCATAGACGACTGTTATTGACACTACACTTCCATCAATAGATTCACGGTTTCAATTGCTTGAAGAGAAGTGATGCGTTTAATGTTGTATACGACTTCAACAAACTAGCAGAAGAAATTAGTAAATCAGACATAATAAAACTGACTGATGAAACTGATAGTCCAAAAGAAATAAGCAATTGAATTTACAATGAACTAAGTCATCACCAATTGGTATAGAATCATATGTGTGTACTAATACTTGCGAGAACTTGCATGTTAATCCCCATCCTTTCCATTAAGAAGGAAAGTTGTTAATGAAACATGTTAGTTTTTTAAGTAATATACAAATATTACTTCAAATATCAAACAAAAATAAAAATGATACAATTGATGTTGAAAAACAAATATTCAATAAAGGTTTATTAAGTATTATTGAGATTTGTTCTTTGAACAATTCACGCTTTCTTAAAAACATTTGAAGAAGTTATTCAATTTTCCTTGACACTTAGCTTTTCACTTTCCTTGATAGTCACAAAAATATTAAGGAAAGGTTTTTACTTTTGAGAAAAGTAAAGTAAAGTTTTCCATGCGAAATAAAGGATTGGCAAGTACAACCCTACTCTTTGCAATATTATTTAACTTTCCTGGATTTGTTATGAGGAACACAGGAGGTTTTGGAGGGTCATGGCACCAGCTTGCTTGGGAGTGAAAATTGAAAAATTATTTGTATCTAAAAGGTATAGGATTTTTTTTTTTTCTATCTTACGTACCTCAAAAAATGCACTTCCAAGTCAAAACATAAGAAAACTCCTATTTTCCCCCTTTGAGTTACAAATACCATTTCTTACTATTAGAAACTATTCAGTAGGCTTAGACCTCACTTCGGTACATGGTAATGTTGCTGGGCATTGATGTACAGACTTCCAGGTACCGCCATCATTTTAATTGTGTATCTGGATTGTAATTCTTGGCAGTTGTCGAATGACTGGGACTATTCTTTCTATAATTTTAAATTTGGTGGGTTTTTTAAATTAATTTACATAGTATTGTAGTTAGTGTGTTTTGATTTTTGTTGTTCATTTATTTCAAGCTCATTTTAGCTTGAAATTTTTTTCGTTCATTTATTTCAAGCTATACTTTAGTTAATTTAAAAAGTTTGTTTTTGGTGTTGTGCCATAGCACAAGTTTTCCACTACTACCTCCGCATACCCGTGCAAGAACTCTCACATCTTAAACCCCACAATCTTCCCTATCCTTCAACTTCCACTCTGATAGGAAAAGTTGTTAACGAAAGTTATTTATTTGTTTAAAGATGTATAAAGGTAACTTCCAATGTACTATCACAATATGAAATAAGAAATAACAATGCAAGTGATGTTGAACAGTACAGTTGCACAGTAGCCACCAAAGAAAGATAATTTCAACTTTACAAACTTTTTATGCTCTACCATGTCACAATAGTTTAGATTAATAGATCAGGCAGTTGTATCAATTAAAAGTTAAATCTGCAACAATATTTATTAAAAGATTAGTATCATAAAAAATTTAAAAGTTGTAAAGTGCCATATTTTATATTGAACATAGATATTATTTATTATTTAATAAATCTATAACAACACTTCAGTAAATACTATTACAAACAACTAAATTTTTCCACTATTAAAAGAATGGAATTAAAGTATTTCTTTTGAAATTGGCAAAATGTACTTGCACGAAGGTATCAATCCAGTGAGTGACAGTCCTGTTCCTGTGCATAGTAAATTACTTCCTCTAACATGTGGTGTAGTCAGTATCCACGTATTGTAGGTCCTTGATATCAAAAAATGGATTGACAGCAAAACGACTGTGCTCTGTGACCAACAGTAGAGACTAAACCGTTCTGCCGATTTTCTCCAATACTGTTTTTCCACAATTGATTTAAATGAATTCGAGGCCCTCTGAGTTTGAAACGGATATTTTGATTTTGTGGGATATTGGAAAAGGGCCCTTGGTGGATCGTTGGTTACCGTGCTCTAACTGTGCTTTTCTTACTTCTTTTTGCTGTGTGACGGTAAGAAAGCCCACCCTAAGATTATGAAGACCATAATATACGGTGAAGGGACGTCTTTGTGATAAGCACACTAACTCCTTATCTCCCCTCCCCCATCTCGATCAGGTTTTTGTCCCTGATACAGTGAGCAAATGCTGAGATGGGCCCTTGTTTTGCTTCTGGACATAAATGTACCTTCACTATGCACACTTCATGTTGAACTTTCCTTTTGCTTGGAGTGGTGGGAGTAGGTAAGGACGAGTTAGTTTTGTTAGTAATGCAGAAAAACCACATCTGCAATTTGTTTAGCATTGTATATAAGTTTTCTATAACTAGGGAACGGAAATGTCTAGTTGTTTAAATGTTGCTAATCTCATGTTTGTTTGTTTTTTATTTATTTATCTTTAACTTTTACTTATCTTTCAACTATTTCTAATTAAAATGATGGGAAGGGATTCTGGAACTCCAGAAAACATGCTCAGATGACCTTCTCCCCAATACATCACATACAATTTTTACTGTTGGCCAAGGCCCGAAGTGGACTGTCAAGTCATAGGAGAAGCCTTTAACATTTTCTCCAAAATTGTTCTAAATTTGATTAAATTTTGTCATTGAATAGCTGCAATATTGAAGACATTTTTTTTCCTTTACAGAAATCTATTCTTTAAAGACAGATCTTGAACTTAAATCGTTCACAATTTTTTTGAAAATGAGTAGTTCTCGTGTAAAATAGTTTATTTTCAATTTTTTCTCAACAAACAACAAGCTCCATTTTTTCTTTAAAATTTCTCCTCATAAGTATGGACAGTACAAAAGGTGCTCGTCTGATTTTCGACAACCCCCCCCCCGAAAATTGCAAAATTGAAGATAGGAGATTCTTGACTGAAACAAAATCTGTTCTAAAAAATCATCTCTTTAAGGTATAATGTTTTGAGAGAATGAGTAGCTTTTGCATAATTTGGGCTTGAAATGTATGCAATTTATAAAAGAAATTAAAGAAACTCCTATTTTTTTTCACAGTTACAAGACACACTTAAAAGAATGTGTATACCTATCAGTGGACATAAGGGAGACAAATCATTCTTTGAACTTGGAAAATGTGAGACACTAGATATGCACCTCTCTTAAAAAGAAGACAGACAGAAAGAAACAAAGAAGAAAAAATAAAAAATAAAAATTCTGTCTCTTAAAATCTCACTTAGGTTTTGGCTGTGCTATAAAACAAAAATAATTTGGTTGTACTATAAAATAATATTTGGAGCTTGTTTGCTGATGTAAATATTTTCTAATATACTAATCCGATATTTCTTGTTATGAGTGTCAAAAATTCTATTTTGTTACTTTAATCCATAATCCCACTCAATATCTTGTAGGTATACACATGTAGAGGGATTCCAGATCTCAAGAAAACGTGTGCAGATTGTATTTTGGTCTCAAAAACAATTTTTTTATCACAATAATGCACTAGAACATTCCTTCAGAATGTTTGTGACAAGTTGGAGTTGAAGTTGTAATTCATTCTGCCTCCCTATTCCCTTGGTTTGGCCTCTTGTTCCCGAATACAAAAAAACATTAGTCCAAGACAAGGCCATTTTATTCAAGTGAAGTAAAACTTTCAGAAACATGCTTATTTGAGAGATTTGGACAAATCCTGTTATTAGGAAGAGTTTGGAGTTGGAGAATTCATGAAAAAGATGAGTGCATAGAAAAATACTTCCTCTCTGCTAATGTGGTTCAAATTTTCAGACGATCCTTGTCGTTACCATATCAACAGCATGGTGTTTTGTGTTCTCCAAGAGAGGGTATTTGCCACTGGCCACAAGACAATGATGCTGGATCTTGCACTGCTTCTACAATTCTACTACTACCAATAATTGATTTGACAACATCAATACATTAAAATTTGTAGCATTTATTAACATATGAAATACATTAGAAAGCATGCTTTCCTCTCCAGGACATTATACCAGCCAGACTTGTACCTACAGGAAATGGTTTCCATAGCATAAACTGCTATTTAGATCCAAAATTGCCGAAGAATATGCATCACCACAAAAGCATGATTCCAAGTATTTATCATAATTTATCTTGATTTCTGGGTTAATAGTAGCACCATTATATATAACAAGAACATCAAATATTTTTTTGTAAGACAAGTCTAGTTGAAATATCAAGGTAATATTCACACATTGCACTAGCCAAGGCAATATACAACCACATGTGATTTTCTTGAGGTTCTTTTACGTTATTTAATTTGTACAGTAATTATGTTCTTTTGAGACAAATCAAGCAATTCATTTTGATGTTTAGAGATCTTCCTGTGTAAAGTAAGAACTGCAAGCATTTTAAGAGATTATGTGATTTTACTCAATATCTCGATATTCCATGGCAAAAATTGAGACATAGAGGTTTCTTAAATTATAACACATATCCCCTGCTAAGAAGGCAACAAGCTCAAGGAAAAAATTGTTTGATTAAAATTGGGTATTAAATGTATGCCAAGATAGCAATGTTTATCTGTAAAGCTCTGGTAGGTCTTTGGTACAAGGAAGTTAATTAGGGTAGGACAGGAATATGGCTCTGTGATTATATCAAAACACAAAGTGGATACTGTACAAGTTTAATTGGCTGTACAAGCTTACACGTAACACCACAGTTTCCCCTTCTACAGTGCCAGCCCTGGCACTGAAACAATCATTTTCTCAGTGAAGACAGTGGAACAATCACATGTCACTTACTGAGCAGGCCTCCACATTATCAAAGATACAAAAATAGCTCAAGGTAACTCAGGTCAGGCAACATTTGCCTTGGGCAGTGAGCAATAGACCAGTCACTTGCGGCTGTCCCAAGCACTGGCTACGGTGGTAGAGGCCTTGTCCAATGTTGTTGAAGCAAAGTGGTTCTCCAGGCGGTGTGATGCCTGATGATGTCTTAAATCACCTGAGGCAAGCACCTGTCCACATGAGGCACAGACTTGGATAGGTAAACTGCCTGGCCCTTCCTCTTCTTCATGTGCAGCCATTAACTCCTAGAATTGAGAAAACATGCTAATAACACAAAAATAATTATTCTTCAGAATGTTTTATGTCCAATTGTAAGTTAACTGAAAACAACTTCTAACACTGGCTAAAATATCACACTCAACAGGGCCGCACCACAAAAAAATTTGAAAACTGTTTAAATGAAGCCCTGAAAGAGCTGATGGAAATAATATTTTACCCTTTATTATTGTTTCCACAAAGTTTTGAAGGAGTCTATAATGAGAAGAAAACTTCCATTCTTTTTACTATTTTTCACATTGTTTTCCAGATTCACTGTTTAATGCTGTGAAATTTCATCTCGAATAAATCTTTGCGTTAAATTCCCACAGGCTAATTATTTTTGGTATAACTGAAATGTATTATTCTATCACAAAATTGAGAAACGTCACATGTCCATGCAAAAACATTTTTCAGGAACCCTCAAAAAACAGTTTATTTTCACAGTGAGAAGACACATGCATTCTTGCTAGCTGTGTGTTTTTGTATAACACTTCATAAAATGTGATAAAATTAGGAAAATATGGGTTTTCTCAAATATGCTACAAAATAATGAAAACTAGTGGTAATACTTTTATTATTTTGAAAATGATAGAAAGAAAATGCCTCTATACATTGGGGAATAAAATTATTATTACATTTTCTTTCTTGTGAACTGTAAAGAGAAAAAAGGGGAACTTATTGGCCTTCACAGTGGTTGAATAATTCTGTTACTGCCATCGATGATGATGTACTCTGAGCTAAATTCAAATCGCCTGTTTTGTCACCCAAGAAGTACCAGTCTGCAGTTGTTGATGATAGGCCTCATTGCTCGAGTTTCGCCAAGTAAAATAATGCTTCAAATCCTTGTAGTAACAAAATGGAGGCATGGATATTTTATTTTTATTGACTATTCCACTCGAAATTAAAATGACAAATAGTGTTAATAAACAACACAAATATTCATATAAAATGTCCTGATGAGAGCAATTTATATAAAAAAAATTATGTTTTCGTATCACGAGTTTTCTTATTGCCCCTCCCTTCTAGCCAATAAAAAGTTGCAACTCTTCTATCTTAGGAGGTGGTATGTATGACCATTTCTTAGGAGGTGCTGTGTTGGTTTAAGTTAAACCCCATACATACTCTAACATAACTTCTTAGATTTTAACATAGCTTTCACTTATTTTCAATATTTGGAGCATTGTCGAACTTTGTTGAACATAATTCAATTCGGCATATTAATACCACAAGTGCTTTGGAAATTTTCAGATAAATCCCCAACTCACGTCAAGAGTTGGAGATTTATTGACGATTTCCAAAGCACTCATGGTATGATATGGTATTTGTGGTACACCTATGATAATTCTTCACATTTACAGTAAGTTTCAAAATGAGGTTAACTCAAATTTTGATCGAAGTTTTATTGAATATTTTAAAACAAAATCTATTGTTAGGAGTATATTTCTAAAGTGGAATATCTGGCAAAAATTTTCACCACAGAATATATACATAAAGCTGCGAGCTCCAAATTTGATGGTAATGAACACCAGGGAATGTGGTAGACCTCCATAACTTGCGACATTTCTCAATTTTACTGGAACATCAACTTCCTGTATGAACTATTATAATGAAAGGACACATCGTCACTCAATAGATGAGCTTCAATATACGTAACTCCATTTTTGAAATTAGACGTCGCGAAAGTGGATAAGAGGGGGGTTTCAAAAATCCCTGATTCCGACTTCAGTAAACACCTTTTCTTAAGGCAGTTTTCCGGCAGAACACACGTACATGAGGGCTCCCTTTACGCCACCGGCGGGGAGCGCGAGCCGCTGCTCACCTGCTGCTTGGCGATGTCCGGCAGCAGCGCCAGCAGTTCCGGGAAGACGTCGGCGAAGGCCTCCTCGCCCAGGAGGTGGCGGCAGTGCGAGCGGAAGGTGGCGGCGGGCAACGCGCCCTGCCGGTACAGCGCCGACAGCTGCAGGAAGTCGTCGAGGGGCACGGCGCGGCGCACGCGCGCCAACATAGCGCATGGTTGCGGCGCTTCGGCGTCGCGGCGGGGCCGACGGGCTGCGGCGGCGGCGGCCGCGGGGGGGGGGCGGGGGCGGGGCTGGGGTGAGGGCGCCGGCCGGCGGGCGCGGGCGGGGCAGGATGGGGTAGGAGCGGCCGCTGCTGCTGGTGAAGGTGAGGCCGTGCGCCGCGGCGGCGCGGGCGCGCGCGCAACCGAGTTGAGCGTGAGCGCTGCTGAGCCCGGCGGCGGGCCGCGGCGGCGGCGCGGCGCGGCGGCACTGGTGGTGGGGTGGAGGAGGTGGTGTGGTGGGGCGGGGGCCGCGCCGAACCCGGAGGAAGGCGGTTGGAGGCGGCGGCAGCTGCGCGGAGGACGGGGCGCCAAGAAGCCGGCGGGCAGCCCAAGGAGGGGAAGTCCTCCCGGCGTATTGCGGGCGGGGGCGGGACTCAGGCGGGGAAGGCGGCGGCGCGTGCGTGGGCCGCAGGCTGGCGATGGAGCAGCTCCGAGCGTTTTGCGCTCGGGCCGCGCCGCGCGCGGACGCCGCCCGCTCCCGGTTCGAGCTGCTTGCTGCTGTGCCCGGGGCGCACCGCCGCGCGGCGCCGCTACTGCTCTCCTTGCAGGTGAGCACGCCCTCCAGCTTCGACGTGATCTCCTTCCTCCCGTGCGCGCGCGCTCTCGACCAGGCCGACGCCAGCGACGTCGCGCTGCCCGCGGCGTCTTCCGCTTCTTGCGCTTGCCGGCTTCCTTCCGCCTCCGTCGTTGGCGTCTTTCGCCTGCTGCTGTTGTTGGGGCTGCTGCTGCTGCTTTTTCTTCTTGCGATTTCACCTTGATGGTTGCGACGCCCATCACTCTTGCTTGGCGGGCGCCGGCGCGGCGGGCGCGGGCGCGGCAGCGGGCGGGTGGCGGGTCTGTGCTCTGCAGCAAGGAGGGCGCCGGGTTCACGGGATGAGACGGACGAGGCTTCTTTGCGCGCGCGTTCCGAAGCGGAGCCGGCGCGCCAGCGACGGGAAGTCTTCTTGCAGTGACTTACCTTGGCGGGCGGGCGCTGCGGCGGCCCGGCAGCGGCGTCCGCGGCCGGCCGCGCTGTCACGTGCAACCACTGGCCCGAGGCGACGGACGAGGCGGGGGCGGGCCGCGGCGGGAGGGCCGACGACGCGCCCAGCGAGGGAGTCGTGGCGAGCGCGCGGGCCGTGGCGGGTCGGCGCGCCGGTTGACGCGAATGGAGAGGCCGTCGCCCGCGCGCTCGCTGTTGACGCTGAGGCGCACCGGTTGAGGGCGGCGGGCGGCGGGGCCCCGGTCGGCGCGCCAGCGCCGGGAAGTTCTCGTGGTGCGGCGAGCGCGGCTGGCGCACGGCGCGGATGGTGAGGCCGCCACGCCGTTGGGGCGGAGGCCGCGGGCGCGGGCGGGGCCGGCGCGCCGCTCAGCGTGGGGAACTCGTCGGGGCAGTGCGTGCCGAGGGGCGGCCGCCGCGAGGGCCGCAGGGCGCGGCGCCGGCGCCGGCGAAGTCGTCGTGCGCGGGGCGGCGCGCCAGCAGGTGGTGATCGTCGTCGCGCGGCGCCCGCCCGGCTGCCCGGGCCGACCCCCGCCCCCGCCGCCGCCGCCCCCGCGCTCGGGGCGCGGCCGCGGGGCCAGCGTGAACTCCAGCTCGAGCGTGCGCGCTTGCTTGGCCGCCGCCTTGCCCATGGTGCGCCCGTGCACGGACGCGCGGTGCGCTGCAACAACATCCGGTGCCGCTTGGCGTCCACCGCGCTCGCCCGACCTCCGCCCACGCACGACGCTGAGATTGGGACAGGGTAACATACAGCAATACGTCTGGATCCAATCAGAAATGGGCGACCGACAAGTGTTTACGATACCGAAATTCAAGAAGAGAGGTTTCACTGCATTCCCATGCATGCGCGGCAACAAAAAGAATCGCCTAAGCGAACCTTTTTCTAGTTATTTCTAAAATTAGATTGATAAACGTTTTGGAAAAGAAAAGAAAATTATAAAATTCTGCAACATGGACCCTCAAAATGTTCATTTTCATCAAAATCTCGACATCGACTTTTTGCAGCATTACATAACTTTCTTTGCACTACGTACACGAGAACGGGAAATGAACTTCAAAAACGTAGTTGCCAAAGAAACCTGCAGTTGGATGGCGAACGTATGAAAGTTTCGAAAATCCAGAGGTATTAAAAATTGGACTTATAACCTTAACTACAAATGCACTTTGCTGTATTTAAATAATAATATAAAAACAAAATAATTACAAATAAAATCTGAAGCAAGTTTTCAGAAATATTCAAACGCCTTCATGTACAGTACCTCCAAAAGCCGGTCCGGTGACCGAGATCGTCAAGGAGGTACCGTAGCGAACTCGTATCAAAGGATCGCCGTTTCGAGTTCCGCCCCGGACATGGTTGTATTTGTGTTCGTCCTTTCACCTCCTATCATTGCCATATCATGTCATCTTCACAGTTACCATATTGTTAAATCCAACAGTGGTCGCTAACGACCTAGAAATTGATGCGACCTTAAATAACAAAAAGTACATCCAAAAGTATTCGTTTCAAATTCGCAGGGCCTCACGTACGGCCAGATCGACGGTCAATTATCCATTTGAGGAAAATGATTTGAACAGCTTATGCCCTAGAGTTGTTCACGAACTAGCACGCTATTTTAAAACGCTTTTTGAGTATTTTTGGGCCCCTCAAAACGAGCTAGTTGGAGAGGTTTTGAAGCATGGCAGCTTAGATTTCTGTTACGACTTCATTCTCTTCTTACGGTGTAATACCAGAAGCTGTTTTAATGATAAAAGGGGTACGGTGTATTCGTTGACAAATCTCCTAACTACTTACACGGCAATACACGTTTCATTCAAGCCCTAGACTAAACGTTAAAACTTCGTGACACTTGTATTTAATACATGATTACTGATATTTCAAAATATATTACATTTTCCTGGACCTTAAAGAGCAAACAAAATTTGGTCGTCAAAATTCGAAAATATATAACGTTCACACATTTTGAGCAATTTACGTTACACAGATTAGAGGAAGTAACCCGGGCATTTATTTATTTTCTTCTGTCATCTATTAGGCAGAAAAAGAAATGAATATAGTGTAAAATGGTATTTTTTTTAACATTTCTGTTCCGCGTTTTCTCCGCTTCGCACCACTCCATCCGTCTCTGCTTTACCTCCTTCCGCACACCCTCTCCGCTCCGCCCCGCTGCGACGCAACGGGAGAAAGCGTTGTGGGAAGCAAAGGCGGCATTATACGTGTGAGATCGTGTATAGATACTCTGAAATGTGCTGGAGTATCAAAATTTCATTTATTTTGTTAAACATTTAATTAATCAACGATCACTAGATAATGTTAATTCTACTGAGATCATCTCATCCGAAGTAGTACGGTTGTTGTTCGAGGTGCAATTATACATAATACTTTTACGTTTTTTAATATAAAGAGGAATATTATTAAAACTGGTTCACTCTAACAAGTAAATGAATAACAATGATACTGGATTTCTTCAAAAGTGTTGAACTTCATTTATTCAATGTGTCTTCCTACCCTCTTGGAAATCTACATTACTTATTTCCAATGCGCAAAGAAATTGAAAGAAAACTATGCAGCCTCCTTCCACTTACGAAGGGTCTATGGTTTCCTTAGATTACCAGGAGCTCGAGACACATCCCCCAAAAATGAAAATTTTTCTCTGAATAATGAAAATATTTAATTTGTTATTTCGCCTATTCCTATACTGCGCGTACCGACTGAATTCTCGTACTCCCTGCTGACGACACGGATGGCGTCCTGCAAGGCTCTAAGGAAGAGGGCTCCTTTCATTAAATATCTTCTTTTTACGATTTGCCTTAGGGAACAGCAACTTGTTTACATTCTTGTTAGTATGCAAAGAACTGTTGTCATGTAGATATACATACTATATTACTCGCGTGTTATTGCAGTATTCGTGATGACTGATTACGTTAAAATATTTAATTTATCGCAGTGTTCTACGAGAGTATGGCTTTTATTTGTCCTCGGGCAGTGTGCGCAGTACATTCTGGAAAACCGTTTTGTATTACTAGTCGCAGGCTCATTCGAAGAGTGTATAAAGATGGTGGACAGTAGGGTCGTGAACTCTCTGAACATTTCAGAAAGGGCCCAGTAGTCTTATGCAAAATAATAATAATAATAATAATAATAATAAAATCTGACATCAGTTTCTTGTTTTCCCCCTTTTTAAGCTGATAACTTGAGGAATTTACACACTTTTGGGAGAAAAGGCTCTCCAAAACATCTAAAATCCATGTAAATGATTCAACTTAAAACCAATTGTATTTATTAATTGCATCATTTGTTATTTCAATGTCACGTTTTCTTCATGCTTCACTTATTTTACTAATACGTAAGTTATAAAGTTTAATGGAAAAGAGAGCCCAGATATGCAACTGCCCCTTTTTGTTTTAGGCGACGCACACCTGTTCAAGCGGCTGTTAAAGAGAACTTTGTCAGTACTGATACGTAAGAAGTTTTATGTCAGCGCACTGGGTCACGATGGAATTACCTAGGGGCAGTTGACGAACATGCATTTCAACAGTAGTTAAACCACTGATCTCTGTAGATCCATAAGCAGAGTTATTATAAACGAGTTATCGGATTTTAATTTTTTTTTTTTTTTTTTAAATTTAAAAAACGATTGCACATAACATGAGTGGTGCAGCGATGGAAAGGCAAACTCTCTCAGTTTTCGTCATATACTGGCTTCACTGTGATTCCCCAGATAGCACTACTATGCCAGTTCGTCAAATGGTAAAATTGCAGCAGAAAGAGTACTGCAAAATTTTTGGTTATTGCCACAACTTAAAGACTATTCAGGAAATTCCATTCTAACAAGATGGTCTCCTCCGCACCGGCATTCTGGTGTGCGTCATTTCTTAAAGAGGAACATCCACGTCCATGGATTGGGCTACGCGCCGATGACTGGGCGCTGTTCGTTTGGCTCTCTAGGTCTCCTCACCTTACAGTTCCTTTCTGGTATTCGTACAAGATAATACACGTAGTACAGAGAAAGCTATTTAGGAAAAAAATCGAAACAAAAACAATTGTCTTCAAATATTTTAAAAATAATTTAGTAACTTTACAAAATATATTCAAACAAATTTGTACGTCTTCACTACAGCCTCACTCGCGATTGTCTTTATTTTTCGTCTCTGTCAACAATCTTATTTCTTGCGATGCCGGCCCCATCTCGCTCCTCAGACGGGAACCCCAAGAAATCCTCACGAGTGAGCAGCCAGAATTTTCGTAATTATTTTGATGTCAATTGCACACATTCCAAGCGAATGTGCATAGTTTTGACAACACTGCTCTGGCTGCGTTGCTCGCTTCTTGGTTGAATAGGGACGTTTTCAAAAGAAGTGCTATGAGTGCAGAAAACGGCAATATTTCAATATTACGTAGCTGTTCCCAATAGAAGTAAATATGCGCTGTTGAGAGAGAAAGTATGTGCTATTGAAGCACCACTAGTTTAAAATATCCCTTACGTCATTAGTATTTACATTTCGAGCAATTCCTATATATTTGTGAGAACAATTGCTTCAAATAATTTAGAAATTTTCGAATACTCAAAAGAAAAGTCAACGAGCTTCAAAATGCTTATTTTCAGAAACGGGCAAACGACATTCTCTTAGAAAGGGCACCAACTTTTTCAAGGAATATGTACATACACGACTAGGTTTTCTTCTACATTCTTAAAGATATATTTTAATTCTACTATTGAAAAACTGAGGAAATGCGAAAAAATGTGTTTTAAGCGCCAATAGATGGTAGCTGAAAAGAATGGGGTAAAACCGAAAAGATGGTCCAGACTGAAGAGATAAGGAAACTAACTCGTACGAGAAAGCTTATGCTATTCTAGTAACTTTCAATTGCCTACGCAGTATAGAGAGTGTTTTGTAATACTACCGAAAAAAGGTAATTTTCGACAGAAAAACTCAAATTCCGGATGCTGGTAAAGAAAACGTGGATATTATCCCTATTTGTAAAAAATACATCTAATTGTGTAATCAGAATATGGTTTGTGAGTCCTTGATATCGAACAATCGATGGACGGCAAAATTCTATCTGCCTGAGGTCAACGCTATCGCGTAAATCGTTCAGACAAATGTTGAGCAGTGTTTTTGGACGTAATGGAATGTACTTTTGGATAGTTAGTGTTGTTGATGAATTAAATTTTCGCGCCTAATGCGCTACAATTGAAAATGAGGTTTACAATAATGGCTGAGACGTGTTAATGTGAATAGAAATTTCGGTGTTATAATTTTATGTAATCGTTTACTGATGAGAAAAGGTACGAGCTATTATAGTACCCCCAGTTGGTATTGAAGCTGCCGATTGGTTAACTGAGCCCCAACTGATCAAACTTCAGACGTATTATAATTTGATCGGAGTGCAATAGAGATCAGTGAATCGAGCCGTCTTCCTCCCGCACCCCGCAACGTATCTACAGCCGTTCGCACGTGACTACTGGGATTCCCAGATCCGTTACCGAAGTGATCTGCCAGAGGCGATAGCAAAGCATCGGGGAGGGGATGCAGAAGGGCCAATAGGAAGACAGGCGTCTTCGCACATGGCGCGTGGGCGTGAGTCCAATGACCTTGGTAACGAAGCGAGGACAGTGCCCGGCAACTCTCCATCAAAATCGGGGACAAAGCTCGAGGTTG